GGGCCCTGTCTGCTCCCAGGCCACGAGGCTGTAGCTGCCCAGGCCCCTCCCTTGATGCTTTCTGGGCTTGCTCCTGTCCCCCAGCCCCAGCATGCCCAGGACAGGCCGCAGGTGGGACGCTCGTTTCAGCACCACGGACAGCGGCCACCACTGGAGCTGCCCTGGCTTGCCATGGGGGCTGGCATATGGGGAGCATTGGAGCCCAGCCCCATGGAAAGCCCCCCCAGCTGTGGCCTGAGGGTCCTGGCTTGGTGGGGGTGTTGCAGCTCTAGCCAGCTCGGGCTGAGTGACCCAAGTGAGGCTTCGGGGGAGGCTTTGTTCCAGGTACCCCAGGGGAAGCTGTGGTCTGCAGCAGGAAGCCTGAGAGTTTGAGGAAAGGTGGCACTTCTCCCAGCAGGACCAAGGAGCCAGCGCCACCGAAGCTTCCAGGGCAGGACCCATTTTCTCTGCCCAGCACTGGCTGGGGCTGTGCCTGGAGACCTGTGGGTTTGGGGTGTGGGACTGACAAGGTGGACGCTGTGCTTGAGGGGTACCTCAGCAGACAGGGCCTCGCCGCTGGGGGGGTTCTCCAGATCTGAGCCTCAGGGATGGGCTCTGGGACCTCTTTCCAAGCCTCTCTCTGGGGCCTGTGTCTCATTTGTAAGTCCCCAGCCTGTACAGATGGATGGTGGGATGGATGAACCCAGGCCTAGCAGAGGGGCCCCAGGGAGTGTGTCATTCCGGACTGGACACCAGGGGCCTGATGGGCTGGGGGAGGTCTCTGTGGTCCCCCCACTCTGGTGTGTCAGAAAAGAGGAGAATCATTGCGGTCCTGGGGCCAAGGCCCAGGGTGGTTGAGAAAGATGAGTCAATGAGTACCTCTCGCCAGGCCTGGGTCCTGGTGGAAACTCCGTAAGGAGACCTCATGCAAGGGACCGTTGCACTGAGCAGCTGGCCCAGGCTGAACCCAGGCCTACGGGGCTCCCGGCGAGTCCTCGGCTGTTCCTGCTGCCCTCCAGTGACCAGACCCCAGGCAGCACCAGGGCCTTCTCCCAGGACCACCAGCTCCCAGCCCCATGTCAGCGTAGCTTCCTCTGCCCCACAGTGAAAATTGATTTTAATTCATAGAAGCCGGTAAGACCTAAAGATTTTAAATTAAAGCCCAGAAAATCCATCTGTGTAATTAAGCCTCCGGATGTCACAGGGCTCTGTGCAGCGTGGCCGCTTGGCACTGTCTTGTCCTCAGCTGCACATGGACGTACGACCAGGGGGATGTGTGATGCATGAGGGCCGGGCTCGCTCATGCAGGGGGCTGACTGATGTCACCCTCCCCAGGTGGACTGCTGCCCTTGGGGGACTCTGTGCATCTGGCAGCCCCTCTCTGGAGCCGGGATGGCTGGGTGGCCGGGGTTCTAACCCAGGACCAGTGTTGGGAGCCTTCTTGGGGTGGTCCCCCCGCCCAGGGCTACATCAGCAGGAGCAGGGATGGGGCTTATGCTGGCGTCAGGGGCACTCTCTGGAGCAGCTCTCCAGGGTTGGTGGGTCTGTGGGGTGAGTGCTAGGAAAAGGGGGGAGGTGGAGGATCGACTCCATATAGGGGCCTTGCATACTTGAGGGCTGGGACTCGGGCATGCCACCCTGGCTGGGTGGCCTTGGGCAGATCCTCAGCATCTCTGTGCACCAATGTCCTTCAGTCCCCAGCCAGGGGTAGGCCAGCATCTGTGGAGCCCACAGGCACAGAGCTCAGGAGGCCATCTGCACTGGGGGTGCCTGTGGGGCAGCCTTGGCCCCCCTGCCCAAGGCCTCCTGCAACAGCTTGTGTGACTGGGGGGTGGACTCGCAGCAGGAGGGGTAGGGGACTCACCAGAGATCCTGGCCCCACAGGGTGGGTCACCCTGACTTCTACCTAGTTGAGATCACCTCCCACTCCTATCAGATCCAGATCGTCTCAAGGGAGACACCTGAGGTCCCCCCTTCTGGCTTCCCCTCATGCCCAACCACCAAGGTCTGGGAAGGGTCTCAAGAGGCCCAGCAGAGGCAAATGTATTGAGGTAGGACCCTGGCCTGGGGACCCTGGCAGGGCTGTCTTTGGGAAGTTGCTGTGGGTCTGGCTTGTGGTTCCTGCTGGGAAGTGGGCCTACCCATCCTTGCCAGCCCCCCTCTGCACCTGTGTGCAGGGCATGGGCAGCTCTCATGGGTGCTGGCACGGACCAGCCTGGGCTCCAGACAGCACCCACTCCACTGCTGAGGGCTGGGGTCCTGGGCAGGCCCCTTGCGAGCATCCGCCATGCCCAGGAATGCCTGTGCCTACCCCTTCCGCCCCCACCTGGCCCTCTGCCTTGGGGTCTGGGCTGGGTGTAGAAGGCAGTGTCCCGTCAGCACCAGAGGAGGCCATGCTGTAGCCTTGGCTCGAAGTCTCCAGGTGGCTAGGGGTGGGTCTTAGCTGGGAGCTGGTGGAGCCAGCTCACTCAGGCTTCTGGGATTCCCGTGTGGCAGGCAGGCCCTGTGCAGGGAGGCGTAGACAGTCACGCAGTGGTGATGAACACAAGGGCACTGTGTCTGGGCAGCCTCCTGGTTTAGGACACCCCAGCCCCAACCTGCGTATTCCTTCAGGGGAGTCACTGGCGTAATCCCAGAGTGGATAGGGAGGCTGGCCTGGGAGAAGTCAGGCAGCAGCTGGAGACATTCAGTCCTGGCTCCTGGAGTCCTACGGGACAGGGGCTGGTGGGTGGGCTGGAAACCTAACTGCTGTCCAGTAGAATGTTTGCTGAATGGGGGTTAGGGGGTACGGGAAAGCAGACAGCTTGGAAAGATGGGACAGAGAAGGAGTGTCACCACACCCCTACAATAGATTGGGCAAACTGAGGCCTGGGGGATTTGGCTGACTCCCTGCAGAAGGGATGGGTGGGGACAAGCCCAGGGGAGGAAGGGGCACCTGCAAGACCAGCCAGGCCCATGGGTGGTGGGGTGGGGGGATCAGGCCAGGGAGCACTTCCCCCCACCCCAGTCTGATCAGCTGCCCCTGGCCGGGTCCTGCTCAGGCCCAGAGTGGCACGGTCCTTGCCTGGCGGGGAGTGGCAGGGTTTGTCTCCTTGCACATGGGCTGCTCCCACCCCCAAAGTGTTCTGTCTAACCAAGAACACCACTACCCTTCCAGGAAATTACAGCTCTCGGAGACGCACAAAGACAGCCACCCGTGGAGCCGGTCCCCTCCTCGAAAAGGTGCTATTTGCAGCAGTTAAAGGACAGGGATGCCCCGGGGAGAGGATAGCAGAGCTACCTGCCCGCCTGCCTGCCACAGCTGCTGGGGCCAGTGCGGGTGCTGGATCAGGAGGCCAGTAGAGGCCAAGGTGCCCGGGGACCCGCTGGCTGGGCTTCCACGGTGCAGCCTCAGTCACCCTGTGAGTGCAGCGCGTGTCCAGTGGGGCGAGAGCAGCACACCGTGTAGCTCGCCACCGTGCTGCTGTGGGTGCGCTGTGGGCAGGGGGTGCGACTCACAGCCCCCGGCGTGCCATCTCTCCTCTCCACTGCGGGGCACAGATGCATGTGTGCCAGCCTGGCCCATGCAGAGCCTGGAGGACAGGCCCCAGAGCTGCCTTAGCAGGAGGCTGATTTCTGTTTTTCCACAGCCCCATTACAGCAGAGGCACTTGTTACTGCCGAACCCATTAAGTGTAATTATGACGCTCTCAGCGGGAACGTGTAATTACGCTGGTGGCCTGCAGCCACGGTGCACACTCTGACGTGGGCTGGGGGCTACAGCAGTGTGTCAAATACTGGCCTGCCAGGAGACTGGGGGCCTGGCTCTGTGGAAGGGGAGAAGGTCGGGGCAGGCTGCCGGGGTCTCTCGAAGGAGGCTGTACGAGAGGGTGGCCTAGCCCTTCCTCTGTCCCTTGGCTCTGGGCCACTCCTGATGGGCAGGGGGTGGGGAAGCCCCTCCCAGGGCTCATCCCCTGCCCGGTCACAGCTGCCCTGGCTCCTGTCATCTTTAAGAGCTGGGGTCACAGCTCCTGGCAAACTTCACAGACCTCCAGACCCCGTGTCCCCATGCAGTTGGCAGGGAGCTCCACTTTGTCGAGGTGGTCATGTGCTGGTCAGGGGCTCAGTGCTGCTCTGGTCACCTTGCTGATTCACAAAACAGCCTGGCCAAGCGGGTAGCAGGGGTGTTGTGGTACTCCAGGCACAGAGGTAGCCTGCCAGTATGACCCAGGCCTGAGCCCAGAGCAGGGGCAGAGCTGCAACCAGCTGCCTCCCTGAACCTGCAGCAAGGGGTGGACATCGCCACCTCTGTTGCCATCTCAGTCCCCATGGTGTTGGGGAAGGTTGTGGGCACAGGGTGGGGGCTGCAGGGCTGGGGCCTGGGTTTGCCACAGCTGTTTGTCAACAAGCCTGTGTTTATCAAAGAGCCACTCCTCTCTTCTTTAAGAAAGGTCACTCCCAGTCCACTGTCTCCCACAGGGGCTCAGGGCATCCCTCCCTCTAGTCAGGGCAGAGCAGGCTGGCTGTGTGCAGTCCTGGGATGGGGTCCATGGGAAGCCTACTCCAAGTACTGCAGGCCAGGCCTTAGGGTGAGGTGTGTGTTGGGTGGGATGGGGATTCCTGACACAGGGCAGGTGGGGTGCATGATTGTGCCCACCACACACCACTAGCCCATGGCCTTCCCAGCTGTGGAATGTACCCTGCCTACAGCCACCCAGCTGGGGAGACCCCACGCAGCCCGGGCCTCACACCTGATGCAGCCAGCCCACCCCAGGACTCCTGCACCCCGTTTTCCTGATGAGCCAACTGGGGGATGCGGTGGGGCGCCGCCTTCCTCAGGAAAGCCTCATCACGGCTAGCGTGGAGCCACGACGCCACCTGGTGGCCGCTATCAGAAGGGAAGGCGCGAAGGCGGGTGCTGTGCTGGGGTTCACAGCTGATGGGTGGGCTTACAAGGGGCAGGCCCCATGGAGGTGGTCAGATTGGGGCGCTGGGGCAGGTCTGGGGTCCCCTCCTGCGTGGCCCTTAACCCACCGCTCGCACGTGGTTCGAGCACGTCAGCATGCTGGTCATCCTGCTCAACTGCGTGACCCTGGGCATGTTCCGGCCCTGCGAGGACGTCGAGTGTCGCTCGGAGCGCTGCACCATCCTGGAGGTGGGCGCTGGCGGGAGGCATTGATGGGGTGCGGGCACTGGTGGAGGGTCAGCTCTTCTGGTGTTGGGTCCCCCACCTGACCCCTCCTACTGCCAGGCCTTCGACGACTTCATTTTTGCCTTCTTCGCGGTGGAGATGGTCATCAAGATGATCGCCCTGGGGCTCTTTGGGCAGAAGTGCTACCTGGGTGACACGTGGAACAGACTGGACTTCTTCATTGTCATGGCTGGGTATGGTGCCTGCAGGGGGCCCCGGCCAGGTAGAACTGAGGCCCCTGTGCCCCTACCTAGTAAGAGAGGTGGGAGGTGGGCTTGGGGGGTCCTAGTGGAGCCAGGGTACCCTGTCAGGTCTCTGGAGATCCTCCTTCCCAGGCACAAGTCTGGGAGATGGCCAGGAGTGAATGCCCAGCTTGGCCTCTGCTGAGGACCACGTGCTGTGCTGGGGCTCCCTGTGGCGGCATCAGGGCTGATAGGAGTAGATGGGGTCATCTGTGAGTCATAAGGGGCCTCCCAGTGCTGACCGAGGGTCCTGCTTCTCCTGCCTTGGGACCCAGCCTGGCTGAGTGCAGGGCCCTGGGGGTGTCAGGCTTTCTGGGGGATGGGGAGAGAGCACTGAGCCCCTGCCCGTCGGTCTGCCAGCATGATGGAGTACTCTCTGGACGGACACAATGTGAGCCTTTCAGCCATCCGGACAGTGCGTGTGCTGCGGCCACTCCGTGCCATCAACCGAGTGCCCAGTAAGTGACCCAGTTCCAGCCCCCTTGAGTTAGGCCTGTGTGTCCCACCAGTCCTGCAGAGCCCTCGCGAGGACTGCTGAAGCACAGGACTGGCAGGTGACGGCTCCAGGGCACTCTGGCCCCAGCCCAGACCCCAGCACTGGGGCATGAGGAACTGGCCCCTGCCACTTGCCATGGGCCCTGGAGGACTTGCCACTTCTTTTCTGGGGAGGACCTGGCTGGGGTGTGATGGGCTCTCAGGATTTGCAGGGTCATGACTTCCACAGTGCTGAGTGACCGGGCCGCTCTGAACCATGGGCTTCTCATCCGCACGGCATCTGGGGCAAGGCTAGGGGCAGAGCAGATCCCTGGTGGTTTCCTTGTCTGGCTCATTCCAGTGTGGCCCAAAGCTGGTGGAGACATACTTTTGTGAGCTTCGTTGTGTGCAGCGCACCTGTCCCTCCCAGGCGAGGCAGCCAAACTCAGGGCCCCTACTGTCTCCCAGTTCAGCGGACAGCCTGCCATCAGTGCTGAGGAGGGCTCCCCCCCACCACCACTTCTAGCCACCACCCTCCCCTCAACAGCCACCCCCAAGGGGAGAGGAGGAGCAGACTTGCGCTGGCTGGGCCAGCAAGATGTCCTCCACCTAGCAGCTGATTCTTATGGCTGAGCTTGGCCAGAAGAGTCTAGAAACCCTCCAGGCCTTGGCCAGCAGCTATGAGGAGGGGGCCAGGTAGAGAGGAGCCACTGTGTGTCTTCTCATGGGGCAGGTGGAGGAAAAGCTTCCAGAAGTCACGCGGGTGCTTGTTTTGGAAATGGACTGTCTGCACACGGCCATCTGCCTGAAGCAGGAAATGGTTTGGGATTTTTCTTCAGAGTGTTCAGTGCTGTGGCTGAATTAGGCAGCTCCACTTCTTGGGGGATGGGGAGATGCAGTGCCACAAGGCTGTGTGAGGTGTGTGTAAACCTGTGCAGATGTGGGTCTACAGGCGCATTTGTGGGCAGACACACACCATTCTAGCTGCCTTATCTGGGTGCTGGGTGCTTGGCAGGGCATATGCAGCCACCTCCCCCACAGAGTCACACACCCGGGGGCTCGGCACTTGCTCCCCTGGGGCCACCAGCTCCACCAAACAGCAGGTGGGTCAGACAGCGCTCAAATACTGTGTGACCCTGGGCAAGTTGCTGAGCCTCAGTTTCCCCAACTGTAACAGTGGAGCATAGTGGTCCCCCCTCCCCCAAGGTTGGCTGTAAGGGGAGGTGGGAGGTGTGCATAGGCTCTCGGCACTGTCTGGCACTCTGATGTGCCCAGTCCACTCAGCACAGAGCCGATAGCACCTCTGCCTGAGCCCACCTGTTGGAACAGTGGAGTGACCCAGCACAGCCCCTCCCACGGATGTTCATTTTTGAGGTTAAATTCCCATAGCGGCCAGAATTGCCGTCAGCAGTCTGGCTTCCTCTTGGGGATGTGCTCCTGTTCCAACCAGGCTAACTCTCTGACAGGACAATATGCTCCTCATGAGTCCCAGAACACATTCAGAGCTGCATCCCACTCTGTCTGCCTGGGGTCCACTCTTACCCCTGGATCATGTGTGATCTTTGGGCCAGTTGATGTCTGGCCAGAGCAGTGCTCACTGATTCTGTCTGTCCCTGATGAACCTCTTCCTCTCTCCACTTTGGCTCACCCCTGTGACCTGAGGGGACCCTTCTGCCATTGCTATCCGTGGGGTCTGCTCCATTAGACCTCAGCTCCCATCGCCTTCTGCTGGCCTCCTCACCCAGAGCTCTGCCTGCAGCCTTAGCCTGGCCCTTGCTGAGGTTTTGGGGAAACAAGCCTTATCCTTCTGGGGTCTGGGAGAGGGACAGGCCCAGGATGCAGCAAGGGACCCATGGGCTTGGATTAATTTGCCCACTTCCTGGATTGATTTTTGTTCATGCAGCCCACAGCACCCAGGAATAAGGGCTTTAAAACTGCCTCAAAAAGCCGCTACCTGTCCCCAGCCTCCCCTCCAGTGCAGGGATCTGCTCCCACAAGATTCACACTGGGAATGAGAGAAAAACCTGCTTTCTGAGCCCCACACCTGCTGCAGAGACCCCCAGGAGGCGGCTCAGAGAGAGTGGGGGTCCTGAGGCTGCTGCTCCCCTGACGGAGTCTCAGGTAGAGCCTGGGGCCACTGGACTCCCAGCTGGTCACCCCGAGGACCTGGAGATGCTGCATGGTCAGGCCCGCAGTGGCCAGGAGCCCTGCCTCCCTCCCGCTCCAGCCTCAGCTCTCTGATAGGAACAGGGACTGCCCGCCATCGGCCAGTCAGGCTGCAGCCTTGCTCCCCTGTGGGTGCAGATCTGACCCACGAGTGTGGTGGCCTGCGTGGCCTGCGGTGCAAGGTGGGGGGGCTCCAGTTACATTGGAGCCTGGCGCAAGTCAGCAGATGGCTTGCACACCCCCCACGTTGGCACACAGTGGGCATCGATACCCACTGTGAGCAGCAGGCAGGGCTCAAGGGTTGCAGGAAGGCTGGGGCCTCTGGGGGCTCATCCGTGCTGACTGCCAGCCCTGCTGCCCCCAGGCATGCGGATCCTGGTGACTCTGCTGCTGGACACACTCCCCATGCTCGGGAACGTCCTTCTGCTCTGCTTCTTCGTCTTCTTCATTTTCGGCATTGTTGGTGTCCAGCTCTGGGCTGGCCTGCTGCGCAACCGCTGCTTCCTGGACAGTACCTTTGTCAGGTGTGCAGGCCCCGCCTCGCCAGCCTCGCCCAGAAGCCACACCCCAACAGGTTCCTCGCACTTGGGCCACCCCCCTTCCAGGCCCCTCCCCTTCCGTCCACGCCCCAGGACGCGCTGTTCCTGGAATACCAATGGTTTGAAACTTGGGTTCTGGGTTTTGGATCTGTTTGTCCCTATTTTTCTGTCTGGTTCTCTGTTTTTCGCAACTTCTGTTTGTCTCTTTACTTCCTCTCCTTGTCTTTCTCTCCCTTTGCTCTGCCTCTGTTCCTACCAGGGTGACACTTGGGGGAAGTGCTGTGGGGGAGGCTGGGGCTAGGCTCCCACTGGGCTCCCACTCACCCCCTCTCAGTCCCTGGCCTCACTAGGGTGACCAGCCTAGCTTTGCCCTCCTGGACCCTTACGGATAGCCTCAGTAGAGGGTGGGGAGCACTAGGTCTCAGTGTGTCCAGGGGCCATGGGGTGTGACCATGAGGCCTTCCTGGGCTTCAGTGCTAAGGCTGGTGCCCAACGTCCCTCTGTCTGTGGCACCCAGCCCTGCTCAGGATGGGCTGCAGCAGGCGGGGTGCTCTAGAGCCTGTGTGTGCAGCAGAAGGGCAGCCCCCCAGGGGGTGTGAGCAAGGTGGGGGGTGCGCCAGGGGAGGGGCAGGGCCTGGGGATGAGGCCAGCTGTTGCAGGGACAAGCTCTGGGGAGGGCAGGGGATGGAGTTAGCCCCACCACAGCCCCAGGGTGGCTCCTTCTGTGGGTTGAGTGAGGGGGCTTGACATCAGCAATCTGCAGTCCAGGCGGCCTGCCTAGAAGGGTTGCCGGGACTTGTCCGGCTGCCTCCACCTGACAGTGCCCCACAGACGCCAGCCAGGCCTTCCCACCTGCACGTGCCCCTCACTGCTGCCCAGGAGACTCCCCCTCCACCAGACACTGTGCTTGGCGCAGGTGTCCCCTCATGCACATTGTCCTACCCTTTCTGTGCCCAAAGGTGTTCTGTCCCTCTTGTCCTGGGCCTAATGTGTCCCCTCCTTCCATGGCCCCCAGAGAAGATAAGTGGCCTGGGGCTAGTGGCCTGCCAGGGCTACTCTGGAACATGACTGAGGTGCTGTGAGGCACCCCTCCCTCCCGCAGGCCCTGCAGATGCATGCTGTCACTGCCTGCGGGGCCAAGGCATTGTCTGCCTTCTGGGTCTGGGAGTTTACTGGGGGAGGGTGGGGCCGGCAGGACTAGAAGACAGAGGTGGGGAGCCCACAAGGAGGCGCCAGTGGGCCTCGGAGTGGTTGAGGTCCCCTGGCCCCACCGGCTCAGGATGGGGTGCTGCCAGGAGGAAGGCGAGGCTTGCTGGTCACCCTGCCAGGGCCTGGTGGGTAATGACAGCATCAACAGTGGGGTGGAGTCTACTCTGTGGTCTTTGTGGTTGCACCCTCATGGGCTCCTCACCCAACTGAGCCCCCCGGCCCTGCCCACCACCCCCAGGAACAACAACCTGACCTTTCTGCGGCCGTACTACCAGACAGAGGAGGGCGAGGAGAGCCCGTTTATCTGCTCTTCGCGCCGCGACAACGGCATGCAGAGGTGCTCGCACATCCCAGGCCGCCGCGAGCTGCGTGTGCCATGCACGCTGGGCTGGGAAGCCTATGGGCAGCCGCAGGCTGAGGGCGCAGGTGGCACCGGACACAACGCCTGCATCAACTGGAACCAGTACTACAACGTGTGCCGCTCGGGTGGCTCCAACCCCCACAATGGTGCCATCAACTTTGACAACATCGGCTATGCCTGGATTGCCATCTTCCAGGTGGGTGGCCTGTACCTCAGGTGCCCATCCTCAGGCGGACGGGGTCCTGGGGCGGGTGTGCTGGGTTGTCATCGACGCTGGGGAGGGCTTGGGTGCAGGGCCCACCCCGCCAGCCCTGCCACGCACCTGGAGGCCTGTGTCAGCCACGGCTCCCCGCAGGTGATCACGCTGGAGGGCTGGGTGGACATCATGTACTACGTCATGGACGCGCACTCCTTCTACAACTTCATCTACTTCATTCTGCTCATCATCGTAAGCGCCCCCACCCCAGTGCTGCCACAGTGGGTCCCTGTGTCGGCCGGGCTTCGGGTGGGGCGGGCAGCAGGGAGGAGACAGCCCCACTTCAGGAGGCCTGTGCAGCCATTCAGCTCCCCAGCCTTTCAGGTACCCTTTGGAGGCTGCAGAAGAGTCAGGACTGCTTGTCGGGGGTCACAGCTGTCCACAGTGTGTATGGCCCCCCCAGGCATGGCCCTCTACAGTGTGTATAGCCTCCCTGCCCTTGTCTTCTCAATGACCTTGTGGTATTCAGGCAGGGTCAGATCAGTGAGTCAATCAGCAAACGTTTGTGGGGCTCCTGGATGTGCCCAGAGCCACCTTGCAAAGACCTAGCAGGGCACAGAGAAAGACACATGCTCCCTCCTGTGTTCAGACAACAAGCGGGGTGAGCGAGCAGAGGAGCTAGGCTATGTGTGACAGGGATGGGGGAGGCCCCACGGGTAGGGGGACCAGCCACAGTGGAGAGGATCACGTAGAAGATAGGCCTGAAGCAAGAGGGACGAGCCTCACACATGGCTGGGTAAAGATTCCAGGTCTTCCCCCGTCCCTCGGATAGGCAAGAAGCACCCGTTATATGCCACCTGTTCTAGATGCTGGGGTCCAGGGCCAACACCACAGCAACCCCGCCCTTTGTGGGGCGTCCCAGCACCTAGGACGGGCAGCGCGCAGTGGGGCTCACAGCTGCCCACCCACCCGCCACAGGTGGGTTCCTTTTTCATGATCAATCTGTGCCTGGTGGTGATCGCCACGCAGTTCTCAGAGACGAAGCAGCGAGAGAACCAGCTGATGCGGGAGCAGCGGGCCCGCTACCTGTCCAATGACAGCACGCTGGCCAGCTTCTCGGAGCCCGGCAGCTGCTACGAGGAGCTGCTCAAGTACGTGGGCCACGTCTTCCGCAAGGTCAAGCGGCGCAGCCTGCGTCTCTACGCCCGCTGGCAGAGCCGCTGGCGCAAGAAGGTGGACCCCAGCAGTGCCCTGCACGGCCAGGGCCCGGGACGGCGGCAGTGCCGGCCTGGCAGGCGCACGGCCTCCATCCACCACCTGGTCTACCACCACCACCACCACCACCACCACCACTACCACTTCAGCCACGGCAGCCCACGCAGGCCTGGCCCCGAGCCTGGCACCTGTGATACCAGGCTGGTGCGGGCCAGCAGGCCCCCCTCGCCACCCTCCCCGGGCCGAGCGCCACTGGATGCGGAGTCTGTGCACAGCATCTACCATGCTGACTGCCATGTGGAGGGGCCGCAGGAGAGGGCCCGGGTGGCGCACACAGCAGCCGTCGCTGCCGCCAGCCTCAAGCTGGCCGTGGGGCTGGGAGCCATGAACTACCCCACGATCCTTCCCTCGGAGGCAAGCGGCGGCAAAGGCGGCTCCAGCCCTGGGCCCAAGGGGAAGCGTGCCAGCGGGCCTCCAGGAGCCGGAGGACACAGTCCCTTGAGCCTGGGCGGCCCTGACCCCTATGAGAAGATCCAGCATGTGGTCGGGGAGCATGGTAAGGACCCCAGCCCCAGTCTGCACCCCACCTCTGGGCATCTCCTGAGCCCTGCTTGGTCCTTTTGCCAAATGGACCAGCCATGCCTCTCTAACCCATGAGAGGGAAGAGGAGGACCCCGTCTCCATCCATCCCACAGCAAACCTCAGGCAGCTGACAGCTCTGTGGGGCACAAGCTTTTGCCGTGTAGACAGAATTCTGAATCCAGCAAAGAAAGCCTGTCATAGCCCTCAGCCCCGTGTCTCCTGATCTAGCCCTGAGAGGGACTGTGTGCTTGTGTCTCCCACCTGGACGCTTCCCTGGAAGATTTGCAGCAACTGGGGAGCTGAGGCTGGGGAAGTGGGAGAGGGAAGCCAAGGTCACAGGGCCGTGGAGGAGGACTGGCATGTCCCCCAATGCATTCGGGTCTTCCCACGTACGGCCACAGCTTTGGCTGACCTTGGACAGGCCATTGAAGGGGAGATACAGGGACCCCAGGTGGTAGGGCTCCATGCAGACAGGCTCTGTGAGCAGGTTGCAGAGGCAGGAAGGGGCGTGGGAGTCCACCGCACCAGGGAGCGTGCCCTGAGGGCGTCTGCTGGATGCATACGCCCCCATGCACTGGTGCACGGGGCGTGCGAGCAAATGTGCCACGGCACATGCCCCCAACCCTGCGCTATCCACCAGGGTGACCACAGAGCCCTTGAGTGTGGGGGTCCAGCCGCAGGCAGTGTGCTGTTGGTGTACGACCCAAAGACTCAGCCCAAAGACAACGTGGGACGCCCATTAGCCACTTGTGTGTCACTTCCACGTTGGAGTGACAGCAGTTTAGATGTGTCAGGTTAAGTAGAACACAGAAGTTAATTTAACCGCATACAACGGCTGCTAGGAAGTGGCTTGTGCCGTACTCCACAGACGGCGTGGCCCCAGGGCAGATGTTTCTCTGTGGGGCTGCATGTGCCCAGGTGTGGTCATCTGTCCCAGTGTCTTGAGGCTGCTGTAGCAAAATGTCACAGACTGGGTGGCTCAGAGTGACAGAAATGTACAGTTCTGGAAGCCAAAGTCCAAAATCAAGGTGTCTCTGGGTTGGTTCCTCCTGGAGGCTCCAGGGGAAGGTCCTTCACTGCCTCTCCTGGGTTCTGGCTGTCCTTGGCATCCCTTGGCCTGTAGACACATCACTCCATCCTCTGGCTTCATCGTCACATGGCTGTCCCCTGCGTCTGTGTCTGTTTTCTCCTCTTACAAGCCCAGCAGCCACGGGTTAGGGCCCACTGTTCTCAGTAAGACCACTTCTTATTAACTAATCAATCTGCAGAGACCTTGTGTCCACTTAAGGCCCCATTCACAGGTTCCAGGGCTTAGAACGAGGCTGGGTCTTCTTGGAGGGTATGCTCACCCCACAACCATGTGGGTGTGGGTTCTCAGACACCCAAGTTGCAGCACCACTGAATGGGCCTGTCCCCGTCTGTGCCCCTCTCCTGCAGGCCTGGGCCGAGCCCCCAGCCATCTGTCGGGCCTGAGCGTGCCCTGCCCCCTGCCCAGCCCCCAGGCGGGCACACTGACCTGTGAGCTGAAGAACTGCCCGTACTGCGCCAGCGCCCTGGAGGACCCCGAGTTTGAGTTCAGCGGCTCAGAGAGTGGAGACTCAGATGGCCATGGGGTCTACGAGTTCACACAGGACGTGCGGCACGGAGACCGCCGGGACCCCATGCAGCCACCCCCAGCGGCGGATGCGCCGGACCAGGGCAGCACGCGGCGGCGGGCACCACGACGGGTGGCCTCGGGCGAGCGGGGTGGGCCGGGCTGTGTCTGGGCCAGCTTCAGTGGCAAGCTGCGCCGCATCGTGGACAGCAAGTACTTCAACCGTGGCATCATGGTGGCCATTCTTATCAACACGCTGAGCATGGGTGTCGAGTACCATGAGCAGGTGGGGCCACTGGGCGCAGCAGGCCTGTCGCTGTGGGACGATGGCTGGGACGCAGTTGTTAGCAGGGACATGTCCCTGTGTCTTCCTTGAGATTTCAGCCTCTTACAGGGCCCCAGAGCAGGGAGGGGACAGACAGGGGCAGCTTGGGAGCCAGCATGTTGCAGGAATTTATATCACTCAGCAAGCACGTGTGGCTCCTCTCCTCCTCCGGTTGGGCCTCTGCTGAGTGGCGACACAGACACACCATGGCTACAGCCAGAGATTCTCCCAGTCTCAGCACAGGGGCAGTGAAACCCCTGGAGACCCCCAAGGATGAGGGTAGCAGGTGCAGCAGGGGCCAAAGAGCATTCATCTGGCCATCTCAGCCTGTGCAACTGGCTCTTCTCACGGCCTGCCTGGTCTGGCTCTTGAAGAGAGGCACCCCCTTAAATGACCCAGACTCCCTGGATACACCTGCTGGGGCCCCCTGGTGACCAGAGGAGGCGGGGGCATTGACCCCCAGGAGTAGGCCTCCTGGGCCCAAGAGGAAGAATCATGGGGGTTGTGACCGGCACCCCTCAGTCATCCGCATGCTGTAGACCCCACAGGGCCCTCCTCAGCCCAAACCCGGCCTGGGACCCACCAGGGAGCGGCTGGGGTCCAGGGGAGAGGTGCCTTCTCCTGGGGACAGAGGCCAGTTCCTGCAGCCACCACTGCTAGATTCAGTTGTGGCGCCCAAATCAGTTTCCTTGTGTCCCGCTCTCTGGGCTTTTCAAGTTACCAAGGCTATTTTCTTTTATCCTGGAGCAATTTAGGGAAAACCCTATCACCATTAGCCTTAGGCAGGCCCCAGGCAAGACAGCTCTTGTGAGAGTGAGATCCCTGCCGGGACAGCTGTGGAAGCTCTGCACACACACGAAGCTCACCCATGTATTTATGGACACATGCACATGATAGGCACACACACAATACGTGTGTTGTATGTGTGCAGCACACGTGCAGGAGGACATACATGCAGGCATGTTCTCACACATGCACACATGCAAGCCTTACCCATGGAGACATGAACATGTGCATGATAGGCATGTATACGTGACACGTATGTTGCATGTCCAGGCAGTCACACATGCATATATGTGCACATACAGGGCTTACCCGCATATTTGTGGGTACATGCATGTGGTAGTTATGCACACATGATGTGTGTGGCACACGTGCAGGAGCACACATGCAGGCACATTCTGACACATACGTGCACACAGGTCTTACCCACACATTTACGGACACAAGCACATGATAAATACGCACACGTGACGTGTGGCACACATGCAGGCACACACACTAGTGACTCATTCTCCAGGAAGAAAGGCCTATGTGGCCTTCTGCAGATGAGGAGGGCTGACCAGGCCACCAGGGCCAGGGCAGCTGCTGGGATGCTGCTAGTGCTATTGACTCCCCTGCAGTGTGCCCACAGCCCACCCTGACACAAATGCCCTGGACCCTGCTCCTTGTGGCCTGCAGGGTGGGAGGGCCAGCCTGGCCGGGTATCCAGTTGGAGGGGATGCCCCTGGAGTCCTGGTTTCCTCCTCTAGACAGCAGCTGATCAGGCTCTTTCTGAGATGCAGCCACAGCCCCTTGGGTCCTGATGCAGCAAACCTGCTTCCCAGTCAGTGCTGGGGGAGGGCAGGGGCCCACAGGCAGGGCCCCCTGACCGCCCTTCCCCGCCACAGCCCGATGAGCTGACCAACGCCCTGGAGATCAGCAACGTTGTCTTCACCAGCATGTTTGCCCTGGAGATGCTGCTGAAGCTACTGGCCTGTGGCCCACTGGGCTACATCCGGAACCCCTACAACATCTTCGATGGCATCATTGTGGTCATCAGGTAGGTCCCTTTGTCCCCTGTCCAGGCCAAAGGGGCCCAGGAAGCTCCACTGTCAGGCAGAAACCCACCCCAGAGAGCAAGGCCCCTGTCCACAGGAGGAGGCATGAATGATGTTATTGTATGGTAGGCTACGGAAAGGGGGTGTTTGGGGGTCTAGGCGCTTGAGAGTGTCATGGGCAGAGAGGTCCCTGACTGGGACCATGGTCCCTCCCTGCAGACACTGTTGGACATGCACAGTTAGGTCAGCACTCTCAGATGTTTCTACAATTGAGTGGAGCTGTTCCCTGCAGGAACAGAGTGGGTGCTATGTGGCTTTTTATCTTCGAGGCTGAGCTCTGTTTTGGCTCTAGCTCCTGTGATAAAGGCCAGCTTAAAAGGTGGAATCACACTTGCATCTGGGGGCATTTGCTGCAACAAAATCAACCCAAAAGGGATCAGGGAACTTGAGGGGAGATGCCCCCACCTTCCCCAGGAAGAAGCAGAGCCCTCGGGAGTAAAGGGGTCTCACACCTGCAGGGAAGGGCTGCACAAGAGCAGGCCAGCCGGGCACGGCTCAGGACAGGGGACGCCCTTGGTGAAGGAGTTTCTTTTGCCTGGCTAGAGCCAGGCTCCCTGGGTGCTCTGGGGGCTGGTGCTGACTACGCTGCTTCTGGGATGGTGCTATGGCCCCTTGGGCACCTCGGTGCAGCCGAACCCACTCCTAGCAAAGCTACTGTGGCTGCCCAGCTGGCGGTCCTGCTTTAGGCAAGGAGGGCCAGTGTCAGAGAGCAGTCCCTGACCCTGCCCTGGTGCATGGCCTGCAGTGTCTGGGAGATTGTGGGGCAGGCAGACGGTGGCCTGTCAGTGCTGCGGACCTTCCGGCTGCTGCGGGTGCTGAAGCTGGTGCGCTTCATGCCGGCACTGCGGCGGCAGCTGGTGGTGCTCGTGCGGACCATGGACAACGTGGCCACCTTCTGTATGCTGCTCATGCTCTTCATCTTCATCTTCAGGTGGGTGGCGGGGGTGGGCACCTTCCCCCCTCACTGAGCACACCCCGCCTCTCCCCCTCCTCTAATGCTCAGCGCACCCCCCTTCCCCTCCTCAGCATCCTGGGCATGCACCTCTTTGGCTGCAAGTTCAGCCTGAAGACAGATACTGGAGACACTATCCCCGACCGGAAGAACTTTGACTCCCTGCTGTGGGCCATTGTCACTGTGTTCCAGGTATGGGCCAGGATGGGAGCTGCCCTTTGCTGTAAACGAGGGTCCTGAAGACAGGCAGGGGCTGGAGCTGCTGAAGAGCTGTCCATGGTGGGGAAGGTGCATCCCGTCCCCCAGGGAGGTGGATGGGAGGTTCTGGCTGGTCCTGAGGACTTGCCAGTGTTTCCTGTCGGGGCCGGCCACCCTGATGTTCCCTGCTCTCTGTGGGGTGCCCCAGGCCCACCCTGCCTCTGGCTCCTCTCCCCAGATACTGACCCAGGAGGACTGGAATGTGGTCCTGTACAATGGCATGGCCTCCACTTCCTCCTGGGCCGCCTTGTACTTCGTGGCCCTAATGACCTTCGGCAACTACGTGCTCTTCAACCTGCTGGTGGCCATCCTGGTAGAGGGCTTCCAGGCGGAGGTGCGGGGCAGGGCGGGATGTGACGGGGAGGGGGTCTTCCAAGTGGAAGAGCAGGGCAAGGAGGAAGGCTTCTAAGTGGAGGTATAGGGTGGGGCTGGGGGCTTCCGGGTGGAGGTATAGGGCGGGATGGGGAGGGGGGCTTCCAAGCAGAGGTGAGGAGGCCAGAGCCTGGGCACATTGGGTGGGGGTCCCACCTAGACAGGCCTGGAGAAGCCGATTCCTCCACCCACCTGCCAGGACAGTGACCGTGTCCTCTGGGTCCCTCCATTCACGCCCTACCTCCTAAACCGCTGGTCCTGCCCATGGGGGCCTCACACCTACCTGTGCTTTGTGGGGCGCAGGGTGATGCCAACCGATCTGAAACAGACGAAGACAAGACCTCCACGCACTCTGAGCAGGATTTCAACAAGTTCCAAGATCTCCGAGCCACAGGTGTGCCTGCAGACCACTGGGCAGGGCAGGTGGGTGGAGTGCAGTCCTGGGTGGGTGGGTTTCTTTTCTGGGGGAGCCCTGGAGGCTCAGGGGGCCCACTGTCCCCACTTCCTCCTCCAGAGATGAAGATGTACTCATTGGCAGTGACCCCCAATGGGCACCTGGAGGGCCGAGGCAGCCTGCCCCCTCCCCTTATCCTGCGCACGGCGGCCACGCCCATGCCCACCCCCAAGAGCTCCCTGCACTTGGACACAGCCCACAGCCTCCGGGACTCACGGCGCGGCAGCAGCAGCTCTGTGGACCCCCAGCTGGGGGACCAGAAGTCTCTGGTAGGGACCACCTCCCACCCCCGGCCCCACCGGCCCAGCTCCTTACAGATTCTCCCAAACATGAGTGAGGGTCCTGCACAGCCCTGTCTCATGCTGTATAGAGCCCCAGCCTCATGCAAAGACCAAGAGAGACGGGTGTCCTGTTTTCTGTAAATGGCCACCAGGGCCTGCTGTGCTTCTGAGTGGAGTGTAGACCAAACCCAGAAACCGGGTGTAGCCTTCACAGTGTCCAGCAGAACACAAAGTAGGAAGGTCATCTGCCAGACTGCAGTAAGAGACACACTGGCAGAGCCCACGTCCGGAGGAAAAACGAAAAGGGAGGGCAGAAATGTTTAAGACCAGAAGTTGGACAGATGGTTCCCCGTGTCACGATAAACAGGACAGAATCCCGGGAGACTTCTGATGCAAACTGCCATAGATGCCCTCCGCACAGACAGGGCCAAAACCAGTTCCTGAAAAGGGCCCAGTGAGGGGTGGGTGGAGCGAGGGGGAAGCAGGGGGCCAACTGAGGATGGGGATTCGCGGGGAAGTGTTAGGACGAGGTGGTCGTGTCTGCAGTGGAAGAGCTACAGCATCACAGGGACGAGATGTGTCAGCTGAGCTGCCATGGTCCCACGAGAGATGGACAGAGATGGCTCCTGGAGACTAAAACAGCTCCCACTAGACCCAGAAGTCGAGAACAAGTAACAGCAGAGAGGGTCTGAGTGGCTAGACCAGGCTGTATGTCCTAAGACAGTGGCCGGCCGAACCTTTTCTCTGCAAGTCCAGAGTCTGCCGATGACAAACCGTCTGACCCCACCCCAGAGACTGGGGTCAGCTGCCAGGTGGTGTCTGAGGGGCCATGGGTCCAGCAAGCTCCCCGTGGTCTGCGCTTTGCCTGACCCTGGTCTGATCCTAGCCCCGTTGACAGACCGGGCCTTCCTTCAGGCCCTGGCCAGCTGTGTCTGCAGCAGTCTCAGGAATCCCACTGATAATGCGCATTGACAGCATCTCTCTGGTGGGGTAATCTGCACGTTTAATGAGGTGATCCACACATAGGGCACACAGGAGGCATTCCGTAAATGCCAGCGATGGGTGTTAGCAGTGATGGTGTTAACAGGGTTGGTGGAGGCTCCTCTGGCCAGGAGTCGGGGTGTGTGGGGAGCTCTCAGGGCAGACACTGACTCCCCACCGCCCCCCAGGCCAGCCTCCGCAGCTCACCCTGCACCCAGTGGGGCCCCAACAGCGCCTGGAGCAGCCGGCGCTCAAGCTGGAACAGCCTGGGCCGCGCGCCCAGCCTCAAGCGCCGGAGCCAGTGCGGGGAGCGCGAATCACTGCTGTCCGGCGAGGGCAAGGGCAGCACGGACGACGAGGCGGAGGACAGCAGGCCCAGCGGGGGTGCCATGCCCCAGCCCTGCACCACTCTGCTGCGGCGTGCCGAGTCCCTGGACCACCGCAGCACACTGGACCTGCGGCCCCCGCGGCCGGCCACCCTCCTGCCCGCCAAGCTGCACGACTGCAACGGGCAGATGGCAGCCCTGCCCAGTGAGTTCTTCCTGCACATCGACAGCCACAAGGAGGACGTGGCGGAGTTTGACGATGATGTGGAGGACGTGAGTGGGCAGGGGTCCCTGGCCAGGGAGGACAGCAGAGGGTCAGCCGCAGCTGATCCCACCAGAGCCGGCCCATCTGCAGCGGGGGAGGGGGTTGGGCTCCTGTTTAATGGTCAGCCACTGGCCATGAGGTGCCCTGGGTGGGCAACGAAGGGAGGTATCCCCTAGGCGAGGTGGCTACCGTCAGCCGAGGCTGGTTCTTGGGGGCACTGGCCCTGTGGACTCCCATTGCCTGGGTGGGAAAGGTGAGGCCAGCAGGACAGGTATGACGTGAGGACGAGGCAGCCAAGGGCAGGAGAAAGGGACAGACTGGCTTATGAAGCGGGTGGACCGTAGGGGCCGGGAGAGGCGGCCTGGTGGGCGGGGGCTCTGATGATCCCTCCTCTCCCCAGAGCTGCTGCTTCCGCCTGCAGAAGGTGCTGGAGCCCTACAAGCCCCAGTGGTGCCAGGACCGCGAGTCCTGGTCGCTCTACCTCTTCTCCCCACAGAACCGGTGAGGATCCCAGGGAGGGGATGTTCGGTGATCCCGCCTGAGGCTGACTCCTGTGGCACCTCCCTCCTCCCCCCACCCTACTGGGCAGGGCAGGCACAGGGTGGGCATGGGACCACCGGGACCCCCGTGCCTGCCAGCTCAGCCCTCGCCTCTCACCCTGGCCGGCCCCCTAGGTTCCGCATGTCCTGCCAGAAGGTCATTGCCCACAAGATGTTCGACCACGTGGTGCTGGCCTTCATCTTCCTCAACTGCATCGCCATCGCGCTGGAGCGGCCTGACATCGACCCCGGTAGCACTGTGAGTCGCCAGTCTGCGGTTGTCCTGGGTGGGGCTGCACTGGCATGGACGGGGCCCCTCCCACCAGCCTCTCCCTGCAGGAGCGGGTCTTCCTCAGCGTCTCCAACTACATCTTCACAGCCATCTTTGTGGCCGAGATGATGGTGAAGGTACTGAGGTGTCCCCGGGTGCCTGGGGTTCCCATTCTGCCCAACATCCCCCAGCAGTTCCCCTGATTCCCCCGGGACCCCTCCCCCAGGTGGTCGCCCTGGGGCTGCTGGCGGGCGAGCGCGCCTACTTGCAGAGCAGCTGGAACGTGCTGGATGGGGTGCTGGTGCTGGTTTCCTTGGTTGACATCGTGGTGGCCATGGCCTCAGCCGGCGGTGCCAAGATCCTGGGCATCCTGCGCGTGCTGCGCCTGCTGCGGACCCTGCGGCCTCTGAGGTAGGGGCAGTTCAGGGTGGGGGTGGGGCCCCCCATGGGCATCTGGAGAGAACAGAGCACAGTACTTCCCCACCCCCCGCCCGCAGTGGCTCTCCCTGCATTGGGCTGCCCTCAGGCTGCCAGTTCAGTCCCACCTTTGGGCCTTTGCACCTGCTGTGCCTGTTGCCTGGTGGCAGCTCTCCAGGTGGGCCCGACAACACGTCCCCACTGCCTGTGTCCAGGGTCATCAGCCGGGCTCCGGGCCTCAAGCTGGTGGTGGAGACGCTGATATCATCGCTGCGGCCTATTGGGAACATCGTCCTGATCTGCTGTGCTTTCTTCATCATTTTTGGCATCCTGGGGGTGCAGGTGCGCAACCCCTGCTTGTCTGAAGGTCCCAGCTGCCAGGACGTGTGGTCCTTGGCTGCGCGGCGGGGCTGGGAGGGCCTGTGTGGGGCGCACTTGCAGGCTGGGCCCTCTGGGGTGACCGGCTGCCCTGTCAGCTCTTCAAGGGCAAGTTCTACCACTGCGAGGGCGCTGACACCAGGAACATCTCCACGCGATCCGAGTGCCAGGCTGCCCACTACCGCTGGGTGCGGCACAAGTACAACTTTGACAACCTGGGCCAGGTGGGTGCCAGAGGCTGGGCGGGGCTTGCGGCAGGCGCAGTGACCCCAGCCTTGCCCCGCTCAGTGACCCTGCTCTGGCCCTCTAGGCCCTGATGTCCCTGTTCGTGCTTTCGTCCAAGGACGGCTGGGTGAACATCATGTATGACGGGCTGGACGCCGTGGGTGTCGACCAGCAGGTGCGCAGGGACGGGCCTGCCTTGGCGACCTCGACCGAAGCCTGTAGGTGCTCTGGGGGTGGGCTGGGTCGTCTCAGGGACCCACCGCGCCTCTGTGCCACAGCCCGTGCAAAACCACAACCCCTGGATGCTGCTGTACTTCATCTCCTTCCTGCTGATCGTCAGCTTCTTCGTGCTCAACATGTTTGTGGGTGTTGTAGTGGAGAACTTCCACAAGTGCCGGCAGCACCAGGAGGCTGAGGAGGCGCGGCGGCGCGAGGAGAAGCGTCTGCGGCGCCTGGAAAGGAGGCGCAGGAGTAAGGCGCACGCGGTGGCAGAGGCGGTGGCGGTGGCGGGTCGGTACCTGCGTGCCCGCTGGCCCCTCAGCTGCCAGCCCCGCACGGTGTACCCCAGCCTGGCGGCTGGTTCTGCACACAGCCTGCCTGGCCTGCATGGGGGCCGGGCGTCAGAGGAGGGGCCGGACAGGAGAGGGCACTGGGGCCCCCCGTGGCAGGAGGAGCAGGACGAGGCCCCCCTGGTCCCCCCAACGCTTGAGCAGCAGGTTCACCCCGTGAGCTTTCCCTCCGTGGGGTCTGGCACAGCCCCTCCAAGACGGGGGGTGGGATGCAGGGCCAGGGAGAGTGAGGCCCCACTGGCTGGGAGCAGGGAGGGCTTCCCACAGCAGGGGCCGCTGGGTGTCCCCTCAGACCATCTCCTTGTTTTTCCAGGCACTTTCCCCAACCCAGGTACCTGCCCCCGCCCTGCATGACTCAGCTCCCACTGCTGCGGCTGCTGCATGGGGAAGGGCGGGTGTTGCAGGCCCACAGGGGCCACCGCAGGGTGGGCATGGTGGGCAGGGTGGCCGGGACCGGGAGGAAGGGCTGTGGCTCCCTGTGTCCTCGCTGCTGCCCTGCTCACGTGAGCTGCCCTCACCCGTCTACATGTCTGCGCTTCTCTGCTGAGCTCCAGGATGCCTGCTCCCAGCTGCTCCATGTCCTCCCCTGGCCTGGCCCACCTGGCTGCCCGAGCCCAGCACTCTAGTGACTGCATGCCGGGCTGAGCCGCACGAGGGTCTGGGTGGGGGTCGTTGCCCATCAGCACCTGCTTCCCCAGGCCCTGGGCCACCGGCCCCCACCCCTGCATGGTTCTGTGGCCAGGGCATGAGGCAGCCCACGGCCTCACCTGTGGGAGCTCTTTAATATTTGCTGAGGGGGCTACTGCAGGCAGAGCATTTAGTTCAGACAAACCTGCAGGGGCACACACACGGGGAGGGGGCTGCCCCCCGTAGGTTTTTATCTTCCTGTCATGGGCATTGACTTCAGATGGGCTGGGGTCCGGCAGACCCCAGACCATAGTCGCCAGTGGTCCCTTGGAGGACAGGAAGGGGAGAGATGGCCTGGCGGCCAGAGAGCAACTCGGTCTGCCTCTGCCCTGGCAGGGCCGGCAGTGCCTAGCCTGGCAGGTGGAAGAGGAGGCAGGCTCCCCTGCCCTGTCCAGCTCTCCGTCACCAAGATGTCTCTGAGCCCTGGTCCTGGCACAGAGTGAACCACACAGGCTGGGCAGGGACCCAGATGGGCGTGGGGAGGCCGTCTTGGCTCCCAACCCCACTGCTGGGGCCTACTTGGGACCAAGGTCCCACAGTCGAGGAGGAGGTTATGTAGTGACCTGCCCGAGGCTCCCTGCAAGGCCCGTGAAGCAGGCCCGGCTCATCCTCACCCCCGAGCCTCCCTCAGCCTCCTCCGCACGCTCGGCCTCCCGGGAGGCACTTGGGGGACTGGCAGGTGCCACAGGCACAGGCAGCCCTCCGCTGCCCAGCCACTCACTGGCGTTCCTGTCCCCACAGAGGCCCAGCGCCGGCCCTACTACGCCGACTACTCACCCACGCGCCGCTCTATCCACTCGCTGTGCACCAGCCACTACCTTGACCTGTTCATCACTTTCATCATTGGCGTCAATGTCATCACCATGTCCATGGAGCACTACAACCAGCCCAAGGTGGGCGGCCTGCATGACCCTGGGGACAGGGATGGGGCTGGTGGGAGGCAGGCCAGCCTAAGATGGTCAGCTCCTGTCTCACTCAGGCAACACCTGCATGTCCAGAATAGCAGAACAGCAGAGGGCCTTCTAGCCTAAATAAGCCCAGCTTTGTGAAAGCGTTGCTTGTGTGACACTGAGGATAGTGGGTCTGGTGGGGCGGCCACTGTCCCAGGCTATAGACGGGCGGGATCCTGGGCTCAGAGCAGCAGGTACCTCCCCTTACCCAAGGGTTGTCTTTAGAGGGCTGCGGGGTTCATCGAGATGACACCTCTGGGCCTGGCATGGCCCCACATACAGTGAGTGCTCAATAGCTGGGTTCTGTCAGCCACCTGTCCCTGTGCCCAGAGGTGCCCAGGTGAGGAGAGGACAGAGATGGCCTGAATGGCCAGGACACAGTTGCTGGGGATGCCCAGATGGCTGCAGGGTGAGAACGGGTGGCAGCTTGGGGGGCTCCTTGGAGGTGGTAGCGTTCAGCCAGGCCGAAGAACGTTGGGAGAGCACATTTTCATTCGCTCAGTAGGACACACTTAAGGAGCACTGTTTGTATGCTGTGTGGAGGTGGGCAGAGGGGCTGGCCTGGGGCTGCAGCTGCAGACCCCCGGGCAGTGGCACGCAGAGCTGGAGCAGGAGCGGGAGGAAGGGCCGCCCAGCTGAGCACACAGCGGGAGTACCTGACTCTGTCCGCAGTCACTGGACGAGGCCCTCAAGTACTGCAACTACGTGTTCACCATCGTCTTCATCTTTGAGGCTGCACTCAAACTGGTGGCGTTTGGGTTCCGGCGGTTCTTCAAGGACAGGTGTGTGGGCAGATGGCAGGCAGGCAGCTGCTGCTCTGGCTGGGCCTGGGGTGCCGCCCTGAGGAGGCGGGCCGACGCTGAGTCTTGTGCAGGTGGAACCAGCTGGACCTGGCCATTGTGCTGCTGTCTATCATGGGCATCACGCTGGAGGAGATCGAGATGAACGCCGCGCTGCCCATCAACCCCACCATCATCCGCATCATGCGCGTACTCCGCATCGCCCGCGGTAGGTGGCCTGTGCACCCTGCCGTGGGGACCCGCCACTGGCTTCCATGCCCATGCCCAGCGTCCTCCCTCAGTTTACATCTGGTCCTCACTGGGCCAAAGGTGTCTGCAGGTGCCAGGTGGTGGATCTTGGTTTCAGCAGGACAGTCAGGGAGGGTCACCTGGGCCCCAGGCCCCATCCTTCCACACTAATGCTCTGCTCCCGGCCCCAGTGCTAAAGCTGCTCAAGATGGCCACGGGCATGCGGGCCCTGCTGGACACCGTGGTTCAAGCCCTGCCCCAGGTAGGCGGGGCCCAGGCGCCTATATAGATGTCTCGAAAGGACAAGGCCACTCTCAGTCACTCCCTTATTTGTGTGGTCACGCGGCCACTGTGCTGTGTGTGTGAAGGGTGTAGCTGGGCCAGAAGGGGTGGAAATGGCCACCTGCCTTTGGACCTTATTCCTCTGGGCAAGACCACTAACCAGTGCCTACAAGATCTGATCCACTTATGGGGGCAGGGCATGATTGGAGGGATTGGGGCAGAGGATAGCAGGTGGCTGAGGTGGGCTTGTCTGTGGGCAGAGGACCATACAGGTCCTGGGTGTTAGCTGCAGGGCTCTCTCCTCCTTGTAACTGCTCAGGCCCAGATCCTCACTCCCGGCCCACAGCCCTACCCTCACCCTTTCTGGACTCTTGAGCTGAAATAGTCTCATCCATTTACACCATCTCTGTAGTGTCCAGTCCTTCTGTGTACTCACTGCCACATGCCCACAGCCGTCTACCCACCCAACCACCCATGTGTCCATCCATACGTCCAACCCTGCCAGCCAACCATCTGCCCACCCAACCACCCATGCATCCGTCCATATGTCCGTCCATACGTCCAACCCTCCCAGCCATCCATACACCCACCCAACCACCCATGCATCCGTCCATACGTCCGTCCATACGTCCAACCCTCCCAGCCGTCCATCTATATGTCCAGCCCTCCAAGCCAGCCATCTACCCACCCAACCACCCATACGTCCATCCATACGTCCAACCCTCCCAGCCAGCCATCCACCCAACCACCCATGTGCTGTCCATAAGTCCAACCCTCCCAGCCGTCCACCCACCCACCCAACCACCCATGCGTCCGTCCATACGTCCAACCCTCCAGCCGTCCACCCACCCAACCACCCATGTGTCCATCTATATGTACAGCCCTCTCAGCCAGCTGTCTACACAACCACCCATGTGTCTGTCCATACGTCCAACCCTCCCAGCCGCCCATACACCCAACCACCCATGTGTTTGTCCATATGTCCAACCCTCCCAGCCATCCACCCACCCAAACACCCATGTGTTCGTCTGTATGTCTAATCCTCCCTGCCAGCTGGGTGTGGGGTGGGGGAGAAGGCCAGCTTGGGCAGCTTGGGAGCGGCTCTGGACGCCATCGAGGACAGGGAGCCCCAGGAGGCTCCATAGCCAGAAGGGACTCGGGGCTCATGGGCGGGAGCTCCAGGGAGAGGGGATGGGGAGGGCCTGGCAGTGAGTGCCCTGTGGGGCGGAACTGAGGCTGCTCCTGTCCCCTCCCCTGACCCTGTTCTGCTTCTTTCTTGTGTAGGTAGGGAACCTTGGCCTTCTTTTCATGCTCCTGTTTTTTATCTATGCTGCCCTGGGAGTGGAGCTGTTCGGGAGGCTCGGTGAGTGCAGCCACACCGCGCCTTCCCGGACAGACCTGTGCGCTGACCTGGGAGTTCAGGAAGGTGCGCCCATCTGTCCATCCACTTGCACGCAGGCACACATCTCTCAGACCATGCAGCGTTCTGCTCCTGTCAGCTCATCAGGTCCAACAGGTGGACACTGGCACCTACAAACACAGATTGTCCATGCAGAGGTGTACTGCAGACTGGAACATACACGCAGGGACACACATGGACACAGACACACACACACAGTCATGCAGGGAGAGACGGACGTGGACATGGACCTGCACACACCTATACCCCAGCCAGGCGGGCAGAGCCACATGCAAGGGCGAGCATGTGTGCGTGCAAAAACACACACCTGTCGTCCTGCATGCCACGTAGTTCCCAGGAGACTAATGCTCTTCCAGGTTGCAACCAGTAATTTCCTAAGGCACCCACGCTGGCCTGAGACTCTGCCCAGGCTGGGCTGGGGCAGGTGGGGACTCTACACAGGCAGCCTGGTCCCCTCCCCTGCCTGCCAGGGTCCCCAGGGGCCTCAGTAGCTTCCAGGAAGCCCCTGTGGGCTCATCTGGGAGGCAGCCGTGGATGTAGTGTGCCTACGGGAGGACTGTACAGGTCAGCCAGTGCCTCAGACACCTGGGCCTGGGCTCCCTGTAGCCACCACAGACACGCAGTCACAGATGATGGGCACTTCCAGCTCCTTCCCAGGACCCCGGAGCTCCCCCTCAGCTAGGCCTGATGACTCCTGGCCCAGGCCCAGTAGCTGAGGCTCCTCGCCTGGGGGGGCCATTACTCCTCAGGACTGAGGGCGTGTTGGCCACTGGGGCAGTGAGCTGAGGCGGGGAAGCGGGAAGGTGGAGAGCAGGAAGCCTTGTCTGCTGATGGGCAGAGCTGGGCAGCAGAGGTCATGGCCCATGGGCTCCAGGTCACACCCCCAGCAACCCCTACACCCACTGGGGGCTTGTCCATATGCAGCCCAGGCTGTCCCTGCTTCCTATGTCCCTGGGCAGCCCTGGTGGAGGCTGGGTATGTGCACTGTACCTGCCCCCCAAGCAGGCCTGAGCTGACCAGGCATGTGTCTCTGTCCCTCGCAGAGTGCAGTGAGGACAACCCCTGCGAGGGCCTGAGCCGGCATGCCACCTTCACCAACTTTGGCATGGCCTTCCTCACACTGTTCCGTGTGTCCACTGGGGACAACTGGAATGGCATCATGAAGGTACACAGTCCTCGCGATGGGCGAGGCACAGGCTGCCGGCTCTCCTGGGGACTGTGGCGATCCGTCCTCACAGGGCACGGTAGAGACGGACGCCAAGCCCTGTATCCATCGACCTGCCCGCAGGACACGCTGCGCGAGTGCACCCGCGAGGACAAGCACTGCCTCAGCTACCTGCCCGCACTGTCACCCGTCTACTTCGTGACCTTCGTGCTGGTTGCCCAGTTCGTGCTGGTCAATGTGGTGGTGGCCGTGCTTATGAAACACCTGGAGGAGAGTAACAAGGAGGCCCGAGAAGATGCTGAGCTGGACGCTGAGATCGCACTGGAGATGGCACAGGGGCCCCCACCCCGCCCCAGGCCTGCACCCCAGGAGAGCTCGGGTGCGGGGCCGGATGCCCCGAGCCTCCTTGTTGCACGCAAGGTGTCTGTGTCCAGGATGCTCTCGCTGCCCAACGACAGCTACATGTTCCGGCCCGTGGCACCCGCCTCAGCCCCCCACTCTCACCTGCTGCAGGAAGTAGAGATGGAAACCTACGCCAGCACGGACCCCTCAGGTACAGCCTCCAGCAGGGGCAGCAGCAGGATGGGCCAGAGTGGGGAGGACGCGGGCTGGGTGGGAGGACAGGCTGGGCGGGCTGCAGGCTCAGATGCGCCCCTGCCTCAGGATCGGCCGCCCCCACTCACTCGCCACCCCTGGAGTCCTGGGCCTCCCTCCAGGTCCCATCAGCTGCATCCTCCCCGGCCAGAGGCAGCAACACTCTCCAGGCTCCGTCCCCTCGGGGCACATCCTGTTCCCCCAGCCTCAGCCGGCTGCTCTGCAGACAGGTAGGAGAAGCCCGCGACCTGCAGCCACCACTGGGGTTCCACAGGGACTTCTTTCCCCATTTGAAGGGTGAGCAAGGGCACTGGTCCTTGGTACCCTGAGTGTCCTGTCTGCTGCCTGGCAGATCCCCGGGTGTTGAGCCCAGCTGGGCACTCAGCATAGCCAGCAGCCTCCAGCCACCACAGTGGCCAGAGCGCCAGGCCTCATGGTCCCCACTTGTGCCCAGACCACCCAGCCTCTGCCTCCTCTACTACCCCCACCTCAGCTCCTGCTGGCCAGCGCGAGAGCTGTCAGGACAGTCCCATCCTTGGGGTGTTGAGCGGGGCTGGCACTGTTAGTGGACTGGAGTTGGCCCCGGCCCCAGGACCGTGCCTGTCATATTCTCCTGTGGCAGGCTCCACCCATGGGAGCTCAGACCCCAAAGGCACTCCCCTCCATTTTGGCCCACAGAGTGGGGGTGCAGGCTTGTCTGGGGCCTCACAGATCAGGGACCGTGACATCCGCTCCAGCAGCCCCCAGCCCCGTCCCACCTGGGCCCCCAGCCTTGAAGAGTCAGGAGCCATCCAGGGGACCTGCCCTCTCTGAACTCCCTAGGGCCCAGATGGGGAGGGATCCCTGGCTACTGACCGGGCTCTCCCTGGTGTCTCATTCCTTACCTGGACCCCATGCCCTAGCAGGAAGCCGTGCACACCGAGTCCCTGGAAGGGCAGATTGACGGTCCTGGCGACAGTGTCCCCGACTCTGGGGAGCCTGTTGAGAAGACCCCGGCAAGGCAGGTGTCCCTGAGGGGCTCCCTGCGGTCCCCACCCTGTTCCCCTCAGCCTGCCAGCATCCGTACCCGCAAGCACGCTTTCGGACAGCGCTGCGTGTCCAGCCGGCCGGTGGCCCCAGGTGGAGAGGAGGCCGAGGCCTCAGACCCAGCCGACGAGGAGGTCAGCCACATCACCAGCTCTGCCCAGCCCTGGCCGCCTGCAGCTGAGCCCCGCAGCCCCTCAGCCTCCCCTGCAGGCCGCGGGGTGGTGGGCAGCAAGCGGGACCTGTGCAGGTTCTACAGTGTTGATGCCCAGGGCTTCCTGGACAAGCCGGGCCACGTGGACGAGCAGAGGCGGCCCTCGGCAGAGCTAGGCAATGGGGACGGCTGCCTGGAGCCTGGAGAGGTAAAGTCTAGAGTCCTGGAGGCTGAACCCACCTTAGGGGCGCGCAGGAAGAAGAAGATGAGCCCTCCCTGCATCTCCATAGATCCCCCAGTGGAGAAGGAGGGGCCCCCTCGGCCCCCCGCAGCAGAAGGTCGCAGCACCACCCTGCGGCGCAGAACCCCATCCTGTGAGGCCACCCCCCACCGGGACCCGCTGGAGCCCATGGAGGGCCTGGGCGTGGGCGGAGACCCTGCAGCCAAGGGGGAGCGGCGGGGCCAGGCCTCCTGCCGGGCAGAGCACCTCACTGTCCCCAACTTCACCTTTGAGCCGCTGGATGTGGGGGGCCCTGCTGGAGACCTTTTCTTGGACGGTGGCCACAGTGCAACCCCAGAACCCAGAGCTGCCTCCTCAGGAGCTGTGGCACCTCTGGAACCCCTGGAAAAAGAGCCTCCCATGTCCTCCGGGGACCCCCCAGAGAAGGGGCCAGGGGCGCACCTCACAGTTCCCCAGAGTCCCCTGAAGAAACCACGGTCCCCCCCAGCCACCCCTGTGCAGGGCAGCAGTGCAGAGGAGCCGGTGTAGCTCAGGGCTGACTGCACACAGGGCTTTGGCACTGGGGTCTGGGGCACCCACTGGGGTGGTGGCCCTGGGTGGGGCCATACGTGGACCCCGGCTCAGGCCCCACCATGGGCAGAAAGGCCCAGGGCCGACGTCAGCCCAGGGAGAGGGAGGAGATGCTGGAAGTAGGGAGTAGCCTCTTGGCCCTGAGACCCTCCACTGCGTTCGGGTTTTCCCAAGTTTGCCACTGCCATCCCAGGCCATGACGGTGGCCAGGTCAGCAGTCCTGCAAGGAGAGAGGCTGCATCTCTGGGACAAGGAGCAGAAACCCACCACCGAGAGGAAGGCACCGGAGCTCCACCCTCACAGTCCACGTATTTTTATAGGGAACACACGCTTGGGGCCACCCCTGCCTTCACGGCAGCAGGTCTGGTCCCCGAGGCCACTGCGGCCAAATGTCCTCTCCGCTCACAGTCCAGTCCCTCCCTCCTGTCCATCACACCCTCACACACACCCTCCCCCACTGCGCCACATGGCCCTCCGCAGGGGTCCCCCAGGAATCAGCCAGGGGCTCTCTAGGAGGCGCCACATGGACAGGGAGCCACGGCCATGCAGTAAGGAGCCCCAACGCTGACGGGGCTCTGCCCTCCGTGGGGCTTCAGGAGCGAGGTTTCAGCTGACACCCTCTGTTATGTTTCATTCGTTTTATAAATTCAGGTTCAACATTGCAATAATCCGATGCAGAAAACTCAAGTCGGGGAAGGGGAAGGGAGAGAATAAAGACTAACTTATTTAAGAAACACGCTTTGATTACCACCATCAGTCAAGGCTCAGAAGTTGGATGGGAGGGAGAGCTGACCCAGGAGGAGGAGTCAAGATCAGGGTCAAGGGTCAGAAGTCAGGGAGGCGAGGGAAAGCTGACCTAGGCTCTGCAGTCGGCACTTGGCTGCAGGGATGCAGAGAAGTGGAATGGGGAGGACCCCGGCAGGAAGAAGTCAGCCTGGAGGCGGGGCCAGGCAGCCCAGGGCATCAGACTCTACGCTCCCCTGATGTCAGGATATGTCGGCAGATCTAGTTCACATAGGAGGGGACAAAGGTGTAGATCTCAGGCAGGTCAGTGTGTTGCAGCCCCTGTCTGTGCTCACCACTCCGGCCTGCCACCAGGCACCATCCACCTGTAATTCAGAGGCCTCGGGGGCCATCCTGAGGGGCGGAGGAGGGTGAAGGCTGAGACACTGAAGAGCTGGGGACCCCTGCAGGCTCAGAGCTCCTCGTTCTTCCCAGTCCCACCCAGCTCAGCTGGCAGGCATTCACAGGGCCCTGGGCACACAGCATGTCCGGCCAAATGATGCCGCCACCTGGATTAGGGTTGTCCTGGCTGTAGGACTCTGTCCACCACCATAGAAACCCCCACCTCCTACAGGCTGGACAGGCTTTAGGGGAAGTTCATGCAGCAGCCTGTGCACTGGGGGGGAGTGGCAGAGTGGCAGCCCTCACCCAGACACACATCCCACACCAGGGACCCTGGTCACTGGCACAGCAGTCGTGGGTCAGACATTTGAACTTTGGTGTGGATCAGCATGTGGATTTTGAGATGGGGTGGCCCTGGCTGGATATCAGAGCCACTGGGAGCAGTCAGTGACTTGTGCTGGTCCGTTGTCCCCACGGGGTGCTTTTCACCTCCTTTCCATGTGTAGCCCCAGCCAGTGGCCAGCCCCATGTCCAAGGGCAGAAGTCAGCTGAGGTGTCCAGGCGGGAGATGAAGAGGGTCACAGTAGTGCTCAGCTGCACCAGGGCAAGGTCCCTACTGGCCCCTTGTGGTCCTGGGGGGCTAAGGTAAAGGACGATCTTCCTCAGGGTGGAGAAATGGGGGACAGAGTGATCTCCAGCTCTCTCAAGTGAACCCGGTAGTCGGATGAATTCAAGGACCTGAAAGGGAAGGAGGGGTCACCGCTCTGAGAGTAGCCAGATGCAGAGCCAAGAGGCTGGCGTCGGGCCCACACCGACCCCACCCCCTCCAGGATCCGATGCTGGATTCTTCCCTCCTCGGCTCAGCAGAAGCAGCTGCTCTGGACATCAGGGCCAGAGCCTGAGCAACGATGCTGCCCCCAACAACTGCGGCAGCACTTTGGGGGACCGGGAGCCCCTGGCGTTTGCTAGAGGCAATGACACTCCTAAGACCCCAAGGGGCCCATTTCAGCTCCACATGAAGAAGGGACAGGCAGTGGGGAGGACAGGAGCTGCCCACCCGAGGTGCACAGAGACGCCAGAAGCAGCCTCACAGGGGCTGGGCTCAGGAAACCTCCGAGGCCAGTGCCAGCCACTCTGGCCACCAGGAATGGCCAGGGGTTGCACACTGCCCCATCAGGTGGGCAGAAGGGGAAACTGAGGCCCAGAGAGTTCCCAGGCTCAGAAGTGAGTCCAAGGCCGAGTAGAGGCCTCTGCTGTGCTGCCAGCCCCCAAGCGGGCCCAGGCACTCGGGCTGCCTCTGCTCACCTTGGACACTCACCCGAGGAGCAGTGGGCAGCTCTGAGCACCCACCAGGGGCTGAGCCCGGACCCTCCGCACACATGCACCCTGCGCCAGTGAGTGCCCCCCATGATGCAGCCCCCTGCAGTGGAAACCTGAGGCCAGCCACATCCTGAGCCAGAGGAGGAGTGGTTGTCGGTGGGGGATCCCAAGAGACCTGCTCCCCAGCCCACTGCCCTTCCTCCAGGAAGCCTTCCCTGACCACCCCCTTCCCACCTTCTTGGAGATTTCCCCACGGCAGGGGCCAGAACCAAGGGGGGCTTGAGCACCCTACTGTGCCAGAAAGTGGGGGGCTAGGCAGGGGCGCAGAGAATGATGGCCGCTAGAAAGACCCAGGTGGCTGGGGGAGGGACAGGGGATGACTGCTTAGTGGAGATGGGGCTTCCTTGTGGAGCATGAACGTACTTGGAACTGGATAGCGCTGGTGGTCATACCACATTGCAAACACTCTAAAGGCTGCTGGGTCATGCACTTGATAGTATTGATTTTCTCTTACGTGAATTTCACCTCTAAGTTATTTAAAATTAAGACATGGAAGTCAGCTTGAAGGGGCTCCCACTGGCCAACTCGAGGACAACTTGAGCTTCAAAGTAATGAGCTGATAGATTATAACCCGCACACCAGAGTCACATGGGAAGTGGTGAATCTGCGCCGCCAACACAGATACACACGTGGAGAGGAGTGGGAGATGGGGGTGGGCAGCTCTCCCCAGCTAAACAGAGGCTGGGTGAAAAGGGCACCCCAGGAAGCAGCACCAGCAGCACCTGACACCCGCAATGATCCTCAGCAGACGGGGGTGTCGGGGAGGAGGCTGAGGAGTTGCAGGTTATCTTTGCAGCCTTGCAGTATCTCCCAGCAAGATACAAATTAGCTGCAGAGGGCAGAGGAGGAGCCCTGTGGGGGAGGGCCCTGGCAACACCCCCCCACCACCACCACCAAGAGATCTAAGTGGGAACCACCCTGGTGAGCTATGCAGCCTCCCTGGGTCTCGTGGTGTGATCCCCCGGGAAGGATACTGGGTCCCCTCTGGGGTCCTCAGGCAGGCCTCCTTTGTCCCCTTCCCACACCTGTTGGGAATGTACCTCGCTGTGGAACCCCACGGGAGACACCTGAGGAGACAGAGGGGCAGGCCCAGGTGTGGGAGGGAAGGGGTGGGGGATGTCCACCAGGCCTCAGGGTGGCCCTGGCAGCTGGAGCCAGGAACCAGGCTGGGAGGGTGGCGTCCGGCCAGCTGTCATCCCAGGCCAGGGTGCCAAGCACTGCCTCCTAGGTCCCACTCAGAGGAGGAACTCACCAGGGGTCCGGGGTCTGGGGCTGCGGGCACCTCCATCCCACATTCACGCCTCTGTCCCCCTCCCACCCTGTCCCCAGTCACTGATGCTGGGCCACACAGCCACGGGGTGCAGGTTGTGCAGAGAAGGCACAGCACCTCACAATGAAGGGGGACTCAGACAGCCCCAGCTTCACTCCAACTCCCACTGGGGCTCACAGCTCCCCTAGGCCCAGGGAAAAGGGGTCTGTCTGCCAAGCTGCAACTCCATGGTTGATGGGAAATACCACAGCTGCAGGAGGCCCAGAGAGACAGCAGGGTCCACACCAGCCCCAGGCAGCCCCTACCCACACAACCAGGCTGGGTCACCCACTGGGCACAGCCAGGAGCAACAGGAGGCCACAAGACCCGAGGGTCGTGGTGCCCACTCACTGCAGGGACAACAGGAGTGGACTGAGGACAGCCACACTGCTGCTCCAGGGCAGGGAGGGAGGATGGACAAGGAGGCGAGGACTCCAACGGCAGGTCCTGCCTGTCCCCCCGCTCACCCCGCAGGGAGGGGTCATCACCTCCATTTGCCCACACGTGGACCTTGCAGCCCAGGCAGTAAGTGGCTGGCTCAGGGACACAGGCCACAGCAGGGACAGGACAGAACCCAGGTGTCCTGGCTGCAAAGCTGAGCCTTTTCTTCTCACTGGGGTGGGAATGGGATCAGTGCCATCCCCTCCAGGAAGCCCTCCCTGGTTCCTGTGGGGCACACCTACCATCCCTCCTCCATCCTCCGGTAGCCCAGTCTTTGGGGTTCCTCAGGAGGGTCCCAGCCCGAGACTGAGACAGCCTGCTGGAGACAGCTCAGTCCCCCATGAAAACCCACCCTCCATGATGTCCCTGTCCACACATCCTTCTGTGGCTCCTGTGGTCTACACTGGAGATCAGGTGGACAGTCCCTCAGCTGCACAGCCTAAGGCACACTATTCCTAACATCCTCTGTCTGGCCGGGGACCATTCACGCAGCTGATTAGTGGCCTTGGGTAGTGACCGATCCCCTCTTAGATGTAGGGAAACTGAGGCACAGAGGGGGGTTGCATGTTTATCCATCAGGACACGGCTTCACAGGGCACAGACTTGGCCAGCTCCTGGCCGGTAGCCGCAGCTCAAAAGCATGGATTTAATGTTTGACCTGGTGAAAAATAAGGACATCAGCGCCCCCCTCCGAGTGCGGGACACACGCTGCACACATGACAGGCAGGGCCCTTCCTCCCCCATGACGGCCGCACACCCGGGCGGTTGCGCCTCGGGGAAGGTGGGACCTGCTGGGTCAGCCCCGCACAAGGGGAGCGGGGTCTGAGCCGGGGTGTCCTGGCCCAGGCTACCCCCACCCAGGGCCCGGCAGCCTGATGCTGCCCAGTTGGGAGGGGTGTGGAGGGGGGACAGTTACCACCGACTGAATGCCCCCTCCAAAGCTCATGTGGGAGCCTGACCCCCAATGTGACAATGTGGAAGGGTGGGGCCTTTGGGAGGTGACCAGACCGTGAGGGCCCTGCCATTCTGATGAGTGGGTTAATTGTTTAGTGGGTTATCAGGGAGCAGACTGGGGGCTTTGTAAGGTGGGAGGAAAGTGTGTGGGTGGCTCTTGTCCCTCCTCGCTGTGGGATGCCCTGTGCCACCTCAGGATTCTGCAGAAAATCTCCACCAGGAAGAAGTCCCTCAGCAGATGTGCCTTTTGGATGCTGGATTTCCCAGCCTCTAAGCAAGAAATAAATTTTGTCTTCTTTATGAACTACCCAGTTTGAGGTATTCTGTTATAAGCAACACAAAATGGACCAGGTTCTCTGAATCCTGACCCATCAGGGCCATCCCCAGGTCCCCATAGAAGAGACTTAAAGCCCCCATCTGTCCCAGCAAGCTTTGCCTCCAGCATCGGGGATCTGTCTCTGCTGCTGCTCCCCATCACACAGCTCCCTGCAGAGCCCTCAACACACCACCCCACAATCCCAGGCCTGCTGCCAAGAAAGAAACTCCAAACACCATCTTGTGTGGTCCTAGCAACCCTGCAACACAGTTTCTGTCCCCCCAGGACAGGAGAGACGAAGAGAGGGGGTGGCCTGGCCCTGGCAATGTCCCCCGACATGGTGGGGTCTCCTATGACCCAGGACCCCGGGAGACCCGGAGCTCAGGCTATGTCTGTCTGCAGTGGTCTGACTACCTGGGCACTGTCCCCTCTGGGGAAACCCAGGCTGGACACCGAGAGAGGGGCTGGACCCAGCTCCCCCATTCCCACACCCCCTGTGGCTTGACCTAGCCTTGGCATAGCCTTGACCTTCCTGATAAACCCAATGCTCATGTCATCTGTCAGCTGTCACTGGGCTGAGCTGGGCCAGATAAGAGGACAGCCCTGGGCACAAGTCCACCCAGTCCCTTCTCCCCAGCAACCAGGCCCCGCTGTCCACGTCCTCCACCGCCCCCAGCCCCGGGAAGCTGTGCTGCTTCCTCCAGAGTCGTAGTATCCCGTGTCCTGGCCTGCACACCCTCCACCGAAGACCGTCAGGTGTGCAGCAGTAGCTGCGCCCGGCCCCGCCCTGGCCCATGCTCCCCAGAGAGGCCACAACCAGAAACATGGCAACGACCACGCTGCTTTTCACACACTTTAATAAGACCCCACACCTATGCAGGGGAGGCTTGTGGGGCCAGGAGAGAGCTTGGGGGGCGAGATCCAGACGGGAGGGGGCTCAGGGCAGGGGACGGAGAAGTGGGGAGATGCCACCTAGGCAGAAGCAGCAGTGTTAGCAACAGGAGGGGCTTGGCTTCTCCAGTGACTGCAAACCCGGTTCAGGGCTCCTTGGGGACATAGCGGTGGATCCAATCCAAGTAGTGGGTGACGCGGGTGTACACGCCAGGCCGGTTGGGCTGAGCGCAGCCCTCGCCCCAACTGACCACGCCCGCCTGCAGCCAGGTGCCGTTCACCCTGCAGACCAGGGGCCCTCCGGAGTCGCCCTGTGGAGGGCAGGGGACGGCGCTCACTGGCAGGGTGGGAGGATGGAGTTCGCGGGCAGGTGGGGGGGTGGGGGTCAGGGGCAGGTGGGACTCACCTGGCAGGAGTCTCTCCGGCTGTTCCCAGCACACAGCATGTCGTCACGGACAATGTGTATGTTGTCCCCCGTGGAGAGGCCAGTGTGGTATTTTGCATCACAAACGTGGTTTTCCACAATGGGGACCTTCACCTGCTTCAGGGGAAACGGCGGTGGGAGGGGTTCTGTGGGGTAAGAAAAGAGGGGCAGCATCCCTGAGCCAGCCCGTCGGGACCCTCCCCATGGGGAACCCAAGGCCGGGGCTGTGGGTGTCAGCTGGTCCCCCCATCCAAGACTTCCAGCTGTTCCCACACGCACCATCATTGTCCACATCACCCCAACCTGTCACCCAGCAACGCATCCCTGCAGGGAAGGTCTGCGAGGCAGGGGGCAGAGCCACCGTTTGGATGTGGCTGGAGATGTTCACGGGGTCCTCGAGCTCCAGCAGGGCAATGTCCGCCCCGTCCTGGGCCATGTAGTAGTCGGGGTGGGGGATGACCCTGCTGATGGGCAGCAGCTCGTCGCCGTAGTAGAGGTGCTGTTCACGCAGCTGCACCCGGAACAATTCGGGGTTTATGAGGGCCCTGGGGAGGGGAGGCTCCTACTCAGGAGGTCTCACCTGGAGCCCATCATTGCAGCGTCCCGGAGCACCCAGGAGCACGGAAGGACACCAGGCCCCTCACCCCACCCCACCGGGCCCATGGAGACTCACGGTCCCACGCAGTGCGCTGCGGTCAGCACCCACTGGCGGTGGATGAGGGAACCCCCGCAGATGTGCATCCAGTACTTGATACTGAGTCTCAGGCTCACCTGCCAGGGCCACTTGCTCCCAGGAGCCTCCTGCCCACCCACGATGCCTGCTCGCTCCAGGGCTGGGCCTGGGGCTGGGGCAGGACCAAGTTCAGGACCAGGGTGCAGCCCCACCCTGGGCTCACCCTCCCCTGCAGCTGGGGCAACCCTGGGCTTCCCCCAGCGCCCCCAGCGCCCGGCCTGTGGGGTGTGGGGTGAGGGGGCAGGGAAAGGGCAGAGGGGTCAGTACTCACCGGGGGCCATGTGGACGAGGCTCCCCAGGATGGGCAGTGCCAACACCAGCAGGGTCAGCATCTGGGGGGAGCAGGGAGGGGCAGCGTGAGCCCAGCTGGGGGCAGGGCCACAGTCAGGGGTCTGCAGAGTGTGGGGTGCATCCAGGACCCGTGAGGATTGGGGTGTGGGTCCAGGCTGGGGGGTTTGGGGTCTCACGGTCTGGGTCTGAGGCTCAGCCACTCTGCTCCAGGCTGACACACAGAGGTCAGTATCTCCAAGGCTGGGGAACTTACCCTGCCCAGTCTCTGTCCTTCTCTACACAGCCCACTCTCCCCTCCGCATTTATCCCTCCAGACCAGGATGGGGGTGGAGGAAAGCCTCTCCACCCTCCAATCCAGACCCAGGGAAGTGCATGATTCAGTCCCAGGGCCCCCATGTGACATGGGCCGCCACCTCCCTGATGCCCATCTGGGTACTCATAGGTCCCAGGGTGGGGCGCACAGCCCAGCAGAGGACCAGACACCCTGTGATGTGGGTCCTGACTTCTCAGGCCCTGGAAGGCCAAGACCCCTAATTCTGCCCCAGTGGGGTATAGGAGTTTGAGGGGCTCCAGTCTCTGTTCAGGGTCCAAGGGATTCCCTCTGTATAGTGGGGCTCCCAGGTGGGTCCGACAAGGACTGAGAACTAGGTGATCGAATGTCCCTCTATCAGTAGTCAGTTCTCTGGAATTGAATGGCACCTCCTTCCCACTGTTGGGATCAGGTTCCTGTCCCCTGTCCAGGTATAGATTGAAGACTCCCCCCAAGGAATCCATCAAGCACCACTGTACCAAGGGACAGTCACACTGTCCAAACTCTACCTGTCCGGTCAGCCCACCCCAACCTGCTTCCCCAAGAGCATCACAAAGTGAGGACCTCCTGTCCATGGACCACCCTCAAAGAAGCAGAGAGGTGACATGGGATCCTGACATGACCTATTTCCTCCGAATCCACAGAGGGGCGGGGCTCAGTCCTTCCCAGTTCACTTGGAGGGAGTGGCACACATGAGGCCCCTGTCACATGAGGGAACAGCACCACATCTTCACAGGCAGGAAATCCCACCCCGCCGGGGATGTCAGACCCAACTCCACAATGAGTCCTGCAACAGCCACCTCTGGGTGTTATCTGTGCAGTTCCGCTGGTCGGAGGGGAGCCTGTTATCTTGGGGATCTGAGCTTCAGCAGAGGAAGAGAAGGTGCACGTGAGGTTGAGGCAGCAGGAGAGGCTGCCCCTGCCCCTTGGACGCTCCTCCCCAGGCCCCACCGCCCCTGTGCCCATCCTCCATATCCAGGGCTCAATACTGGCCTTACCTGTCCATCCACCCACCTCCTGACTCTCCCGTGGACCCGCTGATCACCAGTGCCTCCAGCTGCCTCCCCCCTGCTCACCTCTGGAATACTGGACCCCCTGCATGTCCCCACCCTGCCACTCCTGGCAGCCCCTCCTTTTGGCCAAAGGGAGTCTTGCCCTGCCCCCACCCTGACCCCCCACCCCCACCCTGACACAAGCCTGTTTCATGGCTGGCTGTCCCACACACCCCAGGGGCACATTCATCTCCTAAGAAGTGTTGTGGGGGAGGGACAAACGGGCAGGGGATGTCCCAGCCCCTCCCAGGCCTCCCTCTCAGTGACCCTGCTCCTCATTCATTCTCTCAACAAGCTCCTCTGAGGGCCCCAAGTGCCGTGTCCTGGTTCGAGGCCAATAAGTTGGGACCTTCAGTAGCCCAGGTGTTGAGGGGACCACAGGGACAGATGGGGGACACCAAGGCTGGGGGGGTACCAGGACAGGGGACACCAGAGCTGGGGGCACAGATGGGGCCAAGCCTGTGGGTACCACCAAGTCAGGGGCTCCTGACATCCTCCAAGGAATGCTCTGATTGGCTCAAGCCTGGGATCTGGACCAGTCAGGCTGTGAGGATGTGATCACTATGACTGGCGGACACTGGACCAATCCGGGTCTTGCCTGGGGATGCCCCTCACCCAAACTCTGCTCCTCCCTCCTACAACAGTCTCTGTCCACACCTGCCTCTGTATCTACACCAGTCTCTGTGTCCACACCTGCCTCTGTATCCACACCAGTCTCTGTGTCCACACCTGCCTCTGTATCCACACCAGTCTCTGTGTCCACACCTGTCTCTGTGTCCACACCTGCCTCTGCATCTACACCAGTCTCTGTCCACACCTGCCTCTGTATCTACATCAGTCTCTGTGTCCACACCTGCCTCTGTATCCACACCAGTCTCTGTGTCCACACCTGCCTCTGTATCCACACCAGTCTCTGTGTCCACACCTGTCTCTGTGTCCACACCTGTCTCTGTATCTACACCAGTCTCTGTGTCCACACCTGCCTCTGCATCTACACCAGTCTCAGTGTCCACACCTGTCTCTGTGTCCACACCTGCCTCTGTGTCCACACCTGCCTCTGCATCTACACCAGTCTCTGTGTCCACACCTGTCTCTGTGTCCACACCTGCCTCTGTATCTACACCAGTCTCTGTGTCCACACCTGCCTCTGTATCTACATCAGTCTCTGTGTCCACACCTGTGTCTGTGTCCACACCTGTCTCTGTGTCCACACCTGCCTCTGTATCTACATCAGTCTCTGTGTCCACACCTGTCTCTGTGTCCACACCTGCCTCTGTATCCACACCTGTCTCTGTGTCCACACCTGCCTCTGTGTCCACACCTGCCTCTGTATCTACATCAGTCTCTGTGTCCACACCTGTCTCTGTGTCCACACCAGTCTCTGTGTCCACACCTGCCTCTGTATCTACATCAGTCTCTGTGTCCACACCTGTCTCTGTATCCACACCAGTCTCTGTGTCCACACCTGCCTCTGTGTCCACACCTGCCTCTGTGTCCACACCTGTCTCTGTGTCCACACCTGCCTCGGCATCTACACCAGTCTCTGTGTCCACACCTGCCTCTGCATCTACACCAGTCTCTGTGTCCACACCTGCCTCTGCATCTACACCAGTCTCTGTGTCCACACCTGCCTCTGCATCTACACCAGTCTCTGTGTCCACACCTGCCTCTGCATCTACACCAGTCTCTGTGTCCACACCTGCCTCTGCATCTACACCAGTCTCTGTGTCCACACCTGCCTCTGCATCTACACCAGTCTCTGTGTCCACACCTGCCTCTGCATCTACACCAGTCTCTGTGTCCACACCTGCCTCTGCATCTACACCAGTCTCTGTGTCCACACCTGCCTCTGCATCTACACCAGTCTCTGTGTCCACACCTGCCTCTGCATCTACACCAGTCTCTGTGTCCACACCTGCCTCTGCATCTACACCAGTCTCTGTGTCCACACCTGCCTCTGCATCTACACCAGTCTCTGTGTCCACACCTGCCTCTGCATCTACACCAGTCTCTGTGTCCACACCTGCCTCTGCATCTACACCAGTCTCTGTGTCCACACCTGCCTCTGCATCTACACCAGTCTCTGTGTCCACACCTGCCTCTGCATCTACACCAGTCTCTGTGTCCACACCTGCCTCTGCATCTACACCAGTCTCTGTGTCCACACCTGCCTCTGCATCTACACCAGTCTCTGTGTCCACACCTGCCTCTGCATCTACACCAGTCTCTGTGTCCACACCTGCCTCTGCATCTACACCAGTCTCTGTGTCCACACCTGCCTCTGCATCTACACCAGTCTCTGTGTCCACACCTGCCTCTGCATCTACACCAGTCTCTGTGTCCACACCTGCCTCTGCATCTACACCAGTCTCTGTGTCCACACCTGCTCTGTGTCCACACCAGTCTCTGTGTCCACACCTGCCTCTGTATCTACACCAGTCTCTGTGTCCACACCTGTCTCTGTATCTACACCAGTCTCTGTGTCCACACCTGTCTCTGTATCTACACCAGTCTCTGTGTCCACACCTGTCTCTGTATCTACACCAGTCTCTGTGTCCACACCTGTCTCTGTATCTACACCAGTCTCTGTGTCCACACCTGTCTCTGTATCTACACCAGTCTCTGTGTCCACACCTGTCTCTGTATCTACACCAGTCTCTGTGTCCACACCTGTCTCTGTATCTACACCAGTCTCTGTGTCCACACCTGTCTCTGTATCTACACCAGTCTCTGTGTCCACACCTGTCTCTGTATCTACACCAGTCTCTGTGTCCACACCTGTCTCTGTATCTACACCAGTCTCTGTGTCCACACCTGTCTCTGTATCTACACCAGTCTCTGTGTCCACACCTGCCTCTGTATCTACATCAGTCTCTGTGTCCACACCTGTCTCTGTATCTACACCAGTCTCTGTGTCCACACCTGCCTCTGTGTCCACACCACTCTCTGTGTCCACACCTGCCTCTGTATCTACACCAATCTCTGTGTCCACACCTGTCTCTGTATCTACACCAGTCTCTGTGTCCACACCTGCCTCTGTGTCCACACCACTCTCTGTGTCCACACCTGCCTCTGTATCTACACCAATCTCTGTGTCCACACCTGTCTCTGTATCTACACCAGTCTCTGTGTCCACACCTGCCTCTGTGTCCACACCAGCAGTTCGCAAGGGGGGCTCTGCCTGGGGTCACATCTACCCTCACTAAAGGCTTTTCTGGGCTCTGTCATCTTTCTTGAGAGCATGGAGATGTGCTGATGAACGTCTTTTCCACTAAGACCCAAGCATCCTTCCCAGCAAAAGGAAAAAGCAGAAACCCTCTTGGAGGGAAAACAGCCATTTGGGGACAGGCTTAGGATGACCAGGAGTGACTTCCTCCCCTGAGGGGCTTTGCCTCCACCACACCTGCAGGAGCCAGCACCACAGGACACAGGCCAGCCCTCCTGTCCTTGCCCCAGGGCACCACTTTGTCTCAGCTTATCTGGATCCTTCTCTCTCCTCTCCTCTGCAGGAGACAGACAGAGACAGCAGCCACTTCTCACTGAAGGCAGAATTACTGAGAACTAGCAAGTGGCAGTGAGCATGAAAATGCAGATGAGACAGAGACTCCCAGTGCGAGGACGTCATCCTGATCAGAAACCAAGACACAGAAGAAAGAACAAGGGAGAGTGAAGGAGACAA